CACAGAATCCAAAACAGGTTCCAGGTTCTGGGCCGTCAGCACAGAGCCCGACACGGGGCTCGAACCCATGGACCGTGAGATCATGACCTGAGCCGAAGTCTGATGCTTAACCGACTGAGCCCCCCAGGCGCCCCGTCAGCTGGCCTTTAAGAGGGAAAACCTCTGTGCCTTCATGGCCTCCGGGTCCCGCAGGCTCTGACAGCTGCCCACCCGCAGGCTCGCTCCTCTGATTTGCGTTTGACGACCCCTGTTCATCGTGCTTCAGCCACACGGGTCCCCGAGTGTTTCAAGCAGGCCAAGCTCCCCCACCCCAAGCACGCTTGTTCTTCCCGAACATCCCACCCCCTTTGCATGACTGCCCCGCGTCCCTGCTCAGAGAGGCCTCTCCTACAGGCCCCTCTCTGTCCCTCTGTGAGGTCATCTGATGTGATGTTCGTGGAGGGTGGCGACGGGATGCGGTGCCGTCTGCCCGCCCAGCGGTGCCCAGGGGACCCTTGGCCTGCCTGCCCCCCACAGGTGGTGGAGGAGGAGAGGTTCAGAGCCTCTAGGGAGTCCGGGTTGTGTCCGGTGAAGAGCCTACCGAGGGAACTGGGGATGGGTACTGGCCAGAAGACCCTCGAGAGACATGATGACTCCGGAAACTTCTGCAGAGGTCCAGACCAGAGCTGACAAATAGGGCAAGGCTGTAGCACTGCCCCAGACTGGGAAGGCTAACTGGATGGCAGGGGTCGGCGACAGGCTTCTGGGACTGTGGGCCTGTGGGCCTGTGGGCCTGGGACCGAGCACTGGACCCCCGCCCCCTCCCCGCCCGCCTGTGCACACTTGCCAAGTAGGCCTCTTTTTGCAGCGGGAGTGATTTCTTTCTACTCGGTAATTCGTTGATTCCCTCCACGATTCCCTCAGTGTTTGAGACACTTTGACTTTGCCAAAGTCAAAGGCGCTGGACATGACCTTGCACTGATGCGCCACAGGTGTGCGTGGGAGAGACGGGCTGGGCTGCACAGGCCTACCAGGGGCCCCCGGCTGAGGAGGTGCCCCGGGGGCTGACCCTGAGATGGCTCTGCAGGGACCTCGCCCCGGAGGTGTGCGAAGCCCGTGGAAGGTTGGAGTGGCCCCTTCCTGTGTCCAGAAGAATCTGGCGCGGTGCATTCATGGCGAGATTTGTTCTGAAGCCGTTAGCTACTACCTGAGGTGAAGAATCACTGGTTCCCAAGGAAGGTCCGCGTAACATCGCACTCAGTGCTTTCCTTCCATCACTCGGTGGATGGCTCTTCCTTCACGCGGGGAATACACTCCGGTTGGGCCTTGGCTTGCTGTCCGCACAGCTAACACGGCAAGCACACTCTGCCCTGCGGCTTGAGGACCGTCGGGTCTGCCGTGGCTGGAAATCCTCACAGCCCGGATAGCAAGAGGGCAGGCGGACAGGCATCCTTCTGCAAGATTCTGTTCTTGGTCTCCAAGGAGCCATGGCGGGAGACTGTTTGGCAAGCGGGATCCTCTTGGGAACGCAGGAGATGGTTGCCTTTCGTGGTAAAATACGGGTTAGAGCCACCAACCGGTGTCCCTTTCGCCTGTAAAAATACGAGCCCTCTGAGACCGTTCTCACCTTCCCCGCCGACCACGCAGAAGTTCAGTATTTTTACATCCACTGATGCTGACAATAGTAGTTTGCTAATGTTCACCATCTCTTAAGAAATAAAAGTGCCTCTAGTTAAAAAAAGAAAATCGAGGGACATGCTGTTGTCAATGCCAAAGTTTCATAGACGCAAGACACCCTTTCAGTTTTACTGGACCGACATTATATATATATTAATGTTCATTTGAGGGAGAGAGAGCGCGCAAGCTGAAGAGGGGCAGAGAAGAGAGGGAGACGGAGAGTCCCAAGCAGGCTCCGAGCTGTCAGCACAGAGCCCAGGGCGGGGCTCGGACCCACGAACCATTGAGGTCGTGACCTGAGCCCGAGTCAGACATTTAACCGACTGAGCCTCCCAGACGCCCCCGACCAACTTTTTAAATAGAAGGATACTTTTGTTTCAGTAGTGACTAAAATTTGAGGGGTCAGTGAAGAAAAACATATAAAGTATGGATCGTTTCACCTAGAAATAAATGCCCATTTTTATACAAGAAAATAGAATGCTTTCTTTTCAGAGGTAAGAATGACTGATTAGAGACCAGAAAGAATCCATTTTTCTAGGTAAAACTTTTCAGTTGTTTTGCGCTTCATAAAAATCGTACTGCGTGCCGTGAGAAATTACTAATAAGTGTCTTTATCTGTTTCCAATTTAGAGACTCTAGAAAGAACGGCATGATAGGACTTTCAGATTTCTTCATTCTGACAAAGAAAGTTTAGGAAACCTCGAAGAGAAAGTGCAGAAGACAGAGCCATTAATACAGAAGAGAACACTTCTTAATGTCAAGTGGTGCCTTTGTAAAACGTCGGCACCAAATACAGCTTGTCATTGACCACGTACATGTGTCGCATGAATTTTTCTCCGGGTGGAAGTTCAGTGCGGTCAGTGAAACACGGCGG